TATCCAACCCACCCCTGCTCCCTGTCCCCTGACTGCCCCCATCCCTTATTCAACCCCCCTAGCCCTGGGCCCCTTACCCTGAGATGAGGGTCCTAGCCTTCCCGCGGAAGCATGCAGCCCCAGCTCCACAGGTGGGATGGGAGACAGAGGGACTCAGGCCAGCTCCACACAGAGTGGGGTCAGGGCTTCAGCCTGCAACTTTTGCCACTAGGGTGGCAGGGGCTCCCAAGAAGGGGACTTCAACCCCACATCTTCTGCCAGGGTCCAGGGCTTCTTCTCCCTGCCCCAGTGTGGCTCCTCCGCCCCCCATGCCCCCCAGTGCAGCTCCTGCCAGGGTCCGGGCTTCTCCCCCCCCCCCCCAGTGCAGCTCCTGCCGGGGTCCAGGCTTCTCCTCTTCTCCTCTCTCCCCCCAGTGCAGCTCCTGCTCGGGTCTGGGCTTCTCCTCCACCCCCACTCCCTCCCCCCATGTGGCTCCAGCCCTGTCTGGGGCTTCTCTTCCCCCACCCCGGCATGGCTCCTGCCGGTATCTGGAGCTTCTCCCACTGCACCCAGCCCTATCCTAGCTGGGCTCCCTTGGGTCACCTGTTGCCTGCTGTGGCCAGAGTGGAGCCTGGCTGGCAGGGAGCAGCCATACACGTGGATGCCATGGCCACCAGCCCAAGAGGTGCGGGGCAGCCCTAGACAAGCAGGGGCTGGCTGTGCTGCTGCTGATAGCCCCGCACTCCTGCCTACACCTAACCCTAAGGTCTTTTTTTTTTTCTTTCTTTCTTTTTCGGTGTGAGACTCACTCGGCCCCTGCCGGAGCAGGGAGGCAGGAAGCAGTTGATTTGAGCCTGCCCGGCAAACAGCTGAGGAGGGGAAGGGAGAGGAGCAGCCTTCCCAGCCAGAGCTCAGGGCATTAGGGTATGCCGGGGCACACACGGCACACCCCGTGCGCACGCCTATGTTGACATCTCTCCTAATCTTGACACTATAATCACTCCCCTCCTGCTAGACATTCTTCCCTCCCTTGATTTTTCTGATATTGTCGTCTCTCAGTTCTCCATATGCCACTCATACTATTTCTTCAGCATCTCTTTCAATGGGTCAACCTCATATCCTTGTATACTCCTTATGCACATCCCACAGGGGTCTTTCCTCAGTCCTCTCCTCTTCTTCCTCTGGATTCTCTTGGCTGATTTTGTCCTCTTACATCTTAATCTACCATCTGTTTGCTGATGACTCTGAAATCTGCCTGTACATTCTTCACTGCCTCCCTCCATCCAGACCCATGTCTCTGCAAGTCTGACATCTCCTTCTGGATCTCTTACCATTAGCTCAACCTTAACATGGCCAAAACTGAAATCCTTATTTTACCAAAAGGTCAGTTCCTCTTTCTGGCCTCTTGATATGTTACCCCCACATCTATTCATCCATCCATTGTACTCCCCCTTCTAATCCACATCAGGCTCGATTCTTGTCTTATCTTTAAGGCCCTATCCTAATTATCTCTCCAATGACCTATTTCTACCATGATGCCTTAGTTGCCAACTCTTATGATTTTATACTGAGTCCCCCAATATCTTGGTGTTTTTCTTGAGGTGCCAACTCCAGGAGTCATCTAATTACCTGAGAATCTCAATTTTAATTTTTAAAGAGTAAGCCTTTAGCCCTCATGGTTGCAGAGAAAAGTTTGAAAATATAAACCCTAAAGACTCAGAGAGAGAAAATAAAGAACTCCAAATCTATTATTTTAAAAATTTCAAGATTTTTAATACAATCAACTGATTTTTGTTGTCCTTATGCATGTTTTGAGTATTTGGAGTTTGCATTCTACATATGTAAATATTTTCATTTATACTGAAAAAATAAGTCATGGAACTTACATTTGTGTTTATGTGATTTTATTTTATGCATGTCTTAAAATAGTATGAGAAATATGTGAAAATTTTAGAGAGCAAGTTATTCTTACCTTGATGAACTGTCTGAATTAGAAGCCAAACAGATACTTTGGTTAATCAGTAACTTCTAATAATATGTGTTTATTACAACACAATTGGCATTTTACAGACTGAATGAAAACTCCAGGAAGGCAGACAAAACTATCGAATGCAGCCAGTAATAATACAAATCAAAAGGAGGCATATACCCATGAAAGAGTGTATGGCGTGATAGCACAGAGTTGCAATGAATTTAATATAATTTATGCACAGAATGAAAGATTTAGGCAGTCACTTGTTTGATTTGGACATCCTTTTGATTCACTTTTAATATTGACTTTTCAGTCCTGTTAGAAAGTACAGTTGCCACATTTTTTATGACTTGAGCTAAATATGTCATTATATAACTATACTATAAGAGCTGAAGTTTATTTTTCTTGGAGACCTTTTTCAGTAATATGCACCTAGGTTAATAAACATGGCCTTATGATGTCAAGGTAGGTATTTGCTTATGTCTACAAGCTAAACAAAGAGGGTACAGTGAAGAAATGGGAAAATGTAGTTTATACTTGCCTAGGTCTGCATTAGGAAATAAGATGACCAGCAGATTTTTCTTTCATATCAATACAAATATTAGCAACCAATACCATTACCAACTAACTGATAACCATTAGTATTTCAGTTAGCCTAACTTTGGATGCCCAGTTTTAAAAATATTTACCAGGGGGACTGCAGGAGAAAGGTGTGTGTTGGGAAAAGTCATTTTTCAGCTTTTTGAATAAATTCAAAATATGTAGGTGGTATTTAACACAGTGTATACATTTTCTTCATTCAAAGTGAAGTGTAGTCTGTGATACATATTTTTATCTAGTTGATGAAGCCAAAACAAATCCGGGTTACAGAAGCTCAGGAAGTACTAAGACTTGCCCATCAAAAACTGGATGAAAAACAAAGAAGTTTGGCCTTGGTGAGACATTTCTCATTATTATATGTTATTGCTTAGTTATTGAAGCATGTAAATATTCATATTTTTCTTAGACCCTACTAAAACTTGTACAAGTGATTTTTATTTTAAAAGCTTCAGAAGGGGGACACACTTCTTTACTGGAGAGTTGGGGCCCAATCCTAAGACTGTGGAACTCCTGTCTGATGTCTCATTTACTTCAATGGGAGCTTTACCTGCACTAGGACTGCAAGATCAGGCCTTTAATCAAACTTCAGCAAAGCCTAGAAAATAGTGATTTCTTCAAAAATGCCTCCTGGTTTGCTCCATTCCTGTCAACCAGCTACAGCTCAAATTTGGGACACTGGACTTTACAGTGGGAGTGGGAGGAGGACTTATTAATGCAGAAAGTGTTAAACAACAGAAAAGTAATCGGTAGTAATAAATAACCCCAAAAGAACAATTTCAGTACCAAGGGAAAATGTTGCTCCAAAATGTAGGAAAGGCCCACTTGAAAATGAACAATAGAAATTTGTGTTGTGCCTATACTTCAGAGAGGGTAAAGACTAGAGGTGACTTAGCCTCTAAATTGCTGTGATCATTTGCCATTTGTGGATTGCCATATTATTGTCAGACAGCGCATAATGAAAAGACTGAGTTTTAGAGCAATGCAATGTGAAACAACTGTCAATCACTACAGTGTAAGCTCTTACTTTCTTAAATAAGCTCAAGCCTGTTACATTGGTAGCACACATAGTAAGAGAAGCAATGAAGTAGGTCTATTACGTCTAATAAATGGCAGGCATGCACCTCTTAGTCAAAATAAAAAATAAAAACCTTGATCTATTATCTGCCAATTGATTATTAGATTGAAGAACATGAACAGAATTTAGAGGCAAGCTATCAAGAGAGCATAGCCCAGAAAGAAATGCTAGCAACTCGAAAGCAACTGGCAACTCAGCGTCTACACAGAGCATCTATATTAAGCACAGCTCTGGCGGATGAGATGGTATTGCCTTTCATTTTTTGTACTGTCCACTTTTTGGCCTCAGAACATTCAAGCATAAGAGCGTCATAGGAGTTTTACTTCACTTACATTTTTCAGGGGTGGGAAGCTGCCTCCCCTTTTCAGATAGTGGTTCCCCTCTCCCACATTATTATATGGCTTACCATGGTGTTGTGGCTTTTTGTGCTGGCCTGTCCAGTTTAATAACTAGATCCCGGCCCTGGGCAGAAGAAGAGGAGAATTGTCTTTCTGAGGATTATTCTTTCCCGATAAAAACAATCTTCCGACTTTTCAACAGCTGCACCTTAGTTTCCTCCCTCCAGCAGAAACAACAGTATTTCCAATCCCTTGTACTGCAGGGCAGAAATGACTTGTTCTGAAGGGCAGGAGGAAGCCTTCCCTATTATGATTAATAGGTTTTGAGGTGCTGCAGTAATGATTCCTTTCCTTGGTCCAGAGTTGCAACTGTCACTTTAATTACACTCCCGATTCCTATTCCACATAATTGTAAACAATAAACTTTGATACTGCATTATTAAAAATGCATATTTACATACATTTAAAAACAGGTACATTTTATTGTAAATGATAATATTTCATTTGGTTGTGTTAGGAGCGATGGAAAGAATCAGTTAATAACCTGGACGAAAGGCTGCAAGGTATTATGGGTGATGCCCTTGTTTCAGCAGCATGCATCATCTACAGTGGAGTGTTATCAGCAGAATATCGTCAGCAGCTAATAAATGAATGTCTGAGATTGTGTAATGAGAATATCATTCCCGTGTCTCCAAATTATTCCCTAATAACAGCTATGACAGAAAAAAATGAGGTAATAATATGAGCAGATGGTGAGGGGCATAGCTGATTTTTTTACATCAAAGGCTTTATCAGGACTTCCCCCTTTCAGAACACTTGATTCCAAACTTGATTTACTAAGAGTAAAATTCAGAGGTCCAAGTATTTTACTGAGATTATTTACAATATAGATTGTTGTGTTCTGTTGCATCACCTTGTTTATGTCTTTATATGTAGTTAATTGTAAACATTGTATCCATGAAATAACAAGGATTGTCAAAAATGTAAAAATATTGAAAATTGAAACTTTTCTAGGTCAGTAAATGGCAAAATGAAGGTTTGCCTCTCGACCAGTACTCCATTGAGAATGCTATCCTTGTTAAGAATGGACAACGTTGGCCTTTACTAATTGATCCACAGAAACAGGCTTACAAATGGATTTGTCAAATGGAGGGAGACAGGCTACGACAAATTCATACTTCTGATTCCAATTACTTAAGAACTTTAGAAAATGCCATGCGAATTGGAGACTCCATTCTGCTACAGGTAGTTTGGTTTAATTGGGGGGGAGGGGGGGGTTCTGAGTAAATAACAAGGAAAAAAATTCCATCAGAAAACTATAAATGTAAGAAGAATAGAGTGCGTTTGAATGTTAATTTCCCTTGTCAAAGGTATAAGAGTAGGAGAGCGATGGAAGTGATGGAACTACTTTGTAGTTTTATTTATTTAAATTTAATAATAAACATCCGTCTAAAACTCTAGGAACCTAATTCTCCTCACTGACACTGATGTAAATTAGTAGTAACTCCAATAATGTCAGTGGAATTGCACTGCGTTAAAACTGGTGTGGAGAACTGGCCATAAGCACTGACAGTTTCTTGATAAAACCACATACATACAAGAAAGTCTCAGTCAGCTACATGGATTCCTATGGGATCAGAAGGCCAGAGCCATCTGCGCTGAGGACCTGTGCTTCTGCACTAGCTCTGGGTCCTTGCCACCCCCACACTTGCATTGCTAGGCAGCATGATTCCAATGGAGTCTCACTGACAGGGCATCTCTAGTATCCACTGTCCCTGGGTCCCTCTTTAAGGAGAGTTCCCAGCTGGGCACAGGGGATATGAATATCCTTCCAGAAATTAAATGTAATGATAAAACGCAAGGTGTATATCTGATTTTGAGCTCACAAAGCTAAATAATTATTTGAGCTTATTAATTAACCATAATGATTGCAATGTAGACAATATATTTATGGGTTTTAGGATCTTGCTGAAACTTTGGATTCAAATTTAAAGCCAATCTTAAGAAAGGAAATCTACAGTAGAGGAGGTAGAGACTTCATCAGGATTGGAGATGCTGAAATTGAATACAACCACAACTTTAGGTAACTGTCCTCATCAATGACCATTTTTCTAACTACTATTGTATTAGGTTGTACTATATATTAAACTACACTCTCAAAATGCATTTTAAGAACATTATTAAAGTAGCAAAGTAAAGTGCTCAAAAATTAGAAAATGCCAGAATTAAGGTTGCCTGTGCAATCTTAATTCAATTCCCTTGTGCGTGTCCATGATGATACTGTATTGATTTATATGATCACATATTATTTTTTCCTCAGAACCCCTGCTTCATTCAGTAAGAGCATGGATAGTGCTCACTTAATGAGTAGCTATTCAATATTTTTTTTCTCTTTGTTGTTGATTGTGTGCCACATACCTTATTTACTGCACACTATTCAAACTCTGCTCTGAAGACAGAATTATTGGTTTCTCCATGGTCTTTTCTATGGTGCTTATCATTGTGGTATGTGATTGCTTCACAAACACTAAATAATTCATTTTAACAACACCTCTGTGAAAGTGAGTGGTATTATCCCCATTTTACAGACGGGGTATTGAGGCACAAAGACATTAAGGTCAAAAGTAACCACTAATTTTGGGTCCTCAATCTGAGATACCTAGGCCCTGATTTTTCAGAGTGTTAAACTTAAGACCAGCTTTCTGTTGAAAGCTTGACTTTAAGTGTTCTAAATCCATATGGTTACTAGGATTGCCATGAAATTTGGTGTTCCTCATGGGGCACAGAGTTCTATTAGTGATCCAAAATTTGGGCCATTTGACCAAGTTGTTCCCAAGATACAGCCCCCGGAAAACACATTCTGACACTTTTTGTTCACAGGTAGAGATCAAACCAGGGCTCAGATCATCACACTAGTGTTACGCTCAAAGATTATCTCAACAGAGTGCATGGCACCCACCAGCCTTTTGGGGAAAATATTATTCGAAGTAGGGTTTGCTTCTCCAGTTAGGCAAGCGCCAAGCAGTTCTAAGGGTACGTCTACACTTACCGGAGGGTCCGGCGGCAGGCAATCGATGTTCTGGGATCGATCCCAGAAGTGCTCGCCGTCGACGCTAGTACTCCAGCTCGGCGAGAGGAGTACGCAGCATCGACGGGGGAGCCTCCCTGCCGCGTCTGGACCCGCGGTAAGTTCGGACTAAGGTACTTCGAATTCAGCTACGTTATTAACGTAGCTGAATTTGCGTACCTTAGTCCGAAGTGGGGACCAGGCCTGAGGCTTATGTACCTATTTACACTCCTAATGGATCACACTGGACATGTGAAGAGAGAGGCTAACTACAGTATTTGGAAAATTACCTCTGTGTTACAGGACCTTTGTGGCTCTGAGATATGTTATTGAATCTGAGCATTGCCCCAGGCACTGAGGGTATACCTTCACTGCAATTAAATACCTGTGGTGGGCCGGGCCAGCTGACACAGGCTTGTGGGTTGCAGAGCTTGGGCTAAGGGGCTGCTTAATTACAGTGTAGATGTTTGGCCTTGGGCTGGAGCTCAGGCTCTGGGACCTTGTGAGATGTGGTCCACCTCTACACTGCAGTTAAACAGCCCCTTAGCCTGAGCTCTGCAAGCCCAAGTCAGCTAGCATGGACTAGCCATAGGTTTTTAGTTGCAGTATAGACATATCCTGAGAGTTTAAATCTGGCCCAGGGCAGAAATCTGAAGTGAAAAAAGCAGGCATATTGCTCTAATCTGCCTCTGACAAAAGGTTTTATTTTTATTTACTTTGGGGAAAATGTAAAGTGAATACAGTTGACTATTCAGAGGTGCCAAAACTATTTTTGGAAAAGAAAATAAACTACACAAGCACATGCTTGTTGGGAGGGGAGGGCGAATAGAGGCAAAGGTGTGGATGATAATGGGGGAGGGGGTTGTGGGATCTGGTGATGGGGATTGGGCAAGGATACCAATTGGGGGGGGCAGGGGAGGGCGGTAGCTCCCCCTCCCCCCAGTTTCATACAGGAGGTGTGCAAGTTCCCTGACGGAGCTCTTAACAACAGAACAGCATTAGTGTGAAATGTAAGTTCTACGGAGGAGAGGTGCCCCTGGGGCAGGGAGTCAGTATTTTGTTTGCAAACAGAGGCAGGGTGATTAAGATAAGAAAGGGCTGGTGATTAAATTAAGGATGTGGAAGTTTAGCCTGTAAAAGAGGAATCCCTCTGTGGACAGGAGAGAGGGAGGAGGAGGGGTTGTTTTAGAGAGAACACAGGGGACTCAGAAAAAATACACCAAAGCACTGAGCCTAGGTTGCATTCAGAAAAGGGGGAGGTTTTGGGGTCATAGGTGAAAAGAAGGGGTCAAACCCAGGGAAGGGCTAGCAGTGTATAGAGAAGTTCCCACTCTACCTGTGGTACATATGTGGCCCCATCACCATAGTATTTGAGCTTGCACCTCACAATGTCTAACCTATTTCTCCTCTCCTCCCCGCCCCTTGGTGAGGTAGAGCAATGCTGTTATCCCCGTTGTACAGATGTGGCACTGAGGCACACACAGACAAAAGACCAGATTTTCAAAGGTATTTAAGCACCTAGTGAGTTTTTTCAAATGCACTTAGAAGGTTAGGTGCTTTGTAAACCCCATTAGATGCCTAGCTGCATCTTTGGGTGCCTAAAAACCTTTGAAAGTCTGTCCTTAAAGCACTGGTCTGGGGTCAGAGAAGAAGTCCATTGGGGGGAAGTAGAACCCAGGTCTTTCAGGGCTAGCTCTCTATCCAGCAGACCAGCCTCTCTCTCTGCTGCATGCTGCAATATAGAGGACTTTGATAGATGGGAGCAAAACCAAAGCAGCCAGTTCTTCTTCGAGTGCTTGCTCATATCCATTCCATTAGGTGTGTGCGCGCCGCGTGCACGATCGTCGG